TCGTTTGGGGCGCGGGGCGCTGAGTATGTAGCTCGGTGTCCGTAACAGAATCTATGGGCTTATACAATTTTGTAAGCTTCCAACTAAAAATCGTTTAAGTGAGTCCTTTAATAAGCACGCTTATTAAAAAAGTACAACGTTTTAACGTTTAAAAAATTTTTACGAACTTTTTTCATCTCTTAGTGCTGTATACACCTGTAGCGATTTGGCATCTTGTATGGTGAACGTATATATATATTTATTTCTAAGTTTGTTTTGTGTTAAGTTGATGGTGTACCTTATAAATCTCTAATCATAAGTTAAAACGGTGGTCTCTGATTGGTCTTTTGGATTTCAGCAACTAAACTTTCGGCCGGTGTGTGGTAATGTAACAGGATCCCCGTATACCGATATTATAATAATATAGTGATGTACCATTATTCGTATTCTGTTTTTACAATAATTTGATATTGTCATAAGCATAACTTAATTGAAAACGTCATTAGCAAACAACTTTTGATGAAAAAGATTGGTGTAATAAATCATCTATATACGTCCTTTTGCACGATAAGGATCTGTAATTCATGAGTGTGAATCACAAGGCGAATTGTGATTCTTGTAACCCCTTTATAACCTGTGTATATATAACAAAATAATATATTTTTTGTAAAAACAAACCGTCCTTAAATGTTTGTGAAAAAAATCTATTTGCTAAGGTTTATTTGAAATCTATTAAAAGTGCGAAAGTGGGTGAATTACTATAACTGGATTCGTTCCTTAATTTTCCACCCTTAGAAGTAGAAGTGGAATATTTTTTTCAAATTTGAATGGGAACACTACTAAGGCAACCCCATTCCAACGAAAAAAAAAATCATCGAAATCGGTTCACAACTGTTAGAGTGATCGCGTAATATACACACAAAAACAGAAAAAAAAACCTTAGAATTGAGAACCTCCTCCTTTTTGTACAGTCGGTCAAAAACGAATATGAAGCTAATTCATACTTCCCGTCTTCCCTTTAACCAATTTTAATTTGATATATCTAAAATAGGCAGCGTTATCAGTAACAATATTTTTTTATATTTATTTTTAGACTTAAATATAAAGTCTAGACTTTCATTAAAAAACTTTATAGAGTTGCGGCTGGGCAAATTAACAATTGCGGTAAATCAGAACTATGTTACCTGCAGACCGAGAGAATTATACAACTTTTCTTGTTAACCTCTTTGTAGTTTTTTTGGATGTGGCCTTTACAAGCTCATCACACCGAGTGTGGTTTCTATGTAACATTAATAGGTACCACAAAAAGTGAATCTAAAATATAGTTTATATTGCAATTAATATAACGCCATCTCTGTCATTTTCCTGGTAGCTATAAAGGTACCTGACTGAGTGAAGAAACTTTCATAGGTGGTGCTGTGACGATGCTAACCTCCTTCATCATCCTATCTTTTTATCACCCTCTTTACTGGTTCCTGGCCACTTACTTTTAAAATTTTGAATCGTTCTCCTTTTCCTTCCACGATTCCTTCGTTGGTTCGTTCCGTCACCACTTCCATCAAAATTCCCGAAGCAAAAAGACGTGCATTCCTCTGGTAAATTTATACTGCTTTCTTATATGCGTTTTATAACGAAGAAAAAAAAAGTAGGTATGTGCACACAATATTTTTTTTAAAAAGCCGGTAAAACCCAATACAAAGGTTTGCAATAAGCACATAGAGAAATTTGTAAAATCTGCTAACTCGATCCGTAACTCATTTGGCAGAGCAGCAGCCACGTTAAGGCAACAGTCGCTGGTTCCAGTCCAGAATTTTTCTCTGTATTTGTTCGATCTTTTTATCAATAACCTTAGATTTCAGGTTTTTTTAAATTATGAAATAAAATTATTTTGCATTATATTTATAGTGACGATGGCTGTGCAATAAAATTTCTGTTTCAAACTATTTACGAATCTGGCACTTGTTATTCTTTCTAACATCTGTGTCCGTGCAGAATTGTTTCCCCTCTCGCCGCGCTGTCTCTTCTAATGACGCCCGCAAAGTGAAGACACTCCGCCACCCCGTCTTGTTAAAGGGTTTTTTTTATTTCATTACAATGGCTTCTATCTTGTTGAGTTATTTTTATTTCTGTTAAGGTGCGATAGAAGCTGTGAGAGCACAGCACACAATTGCAAGGTCATCATAATCATCAATCCATTAAAGGTTCCAGTGCTGCGCACGGATCTTGCTCTTAGCGGATTAGAATTTCACAGGTTTTTCCAAGATTGTGAATCTGCTTCGGTATGCAGGTTTCTTTACGATGTTTTTTTTCACCATTAATGAGAGGTATCGCTAATAGCGTCTTCACATGTCATAATTACAAATTTGAATAAAATAAATTCATTAGGTTTTTTAATTATAAATTACAAATTAAAATAGCGGCCTATCTAAGTCTGGAAATAAAATAATATTCCAAAGAAACTCTAATGACTAATAAGTATGTAACCCGAATGATATCTATAACTATCAGTTTCTTAGTTTCTTGACGTCGAACGACATTTAGCCACCAAAAAAGGAATTTCAAATCCTACGTATGGATATGGTCCATATTTAATTCACGTAATATCAATATGTACTAAGATACGATACGATTATGTATGATACGATTATACGACGTAATAAGCTAATAAAAGATTAACTACTTCATTACAAAAAATAAAGTCGACAATTTCCTCTCCAAAATGCTACGCGAGAGAATGGTAAAACTGACAAAAAAGTTACCAAAATCAGGGATAGACGGCACGTTTCACAAAAAAATAATTTGTGTTCGAATTACCCTTAGGGGATCAAAAAACCAGTAGTCTAAGGAGTTACCAGTGCAATAGTCTGTGGTATGTCATTAATTAATTCCGTTTTTTTTATTATGGCTTATCTTCAATCTATTTTATTCAATTACGTAACACATAACCTCCAAAACTTCAAACTGTTCAGAATAGTAAACCCAAAACAAAATTTGTTCAGGAATTTCAACTCTATATTTTCACATATTTTTCATAAACAGACGCATACAAATTATGTCAACCAAAATTTATATGAGAGTTTGCCATTGTCCCTTACGTAACTTACAAATTAAAAAGTCATAGATACATGCCGCCATAGGTATTCGTATAGTCGAGCTCTCAAAGGTGACTTAACCCATAACCGACGAGCTCGCGCTATGGTTGTGGATAGTAAAGATACAGTGCTGTTCAGTTCGTCATAAACACGAGACTGAAGTAACATGTCCCGTAAATTATTATTATTATTAAATATGTTAACGGAAGAACAATCAGATGAAGCCATTGTTTTTTAAATCTTAAATCGTACGGTACTCCACACACTCGCGTTTGATATTGCCATCCCGAATACGCGCTGAGCATTGTGTGAATCGTGTTTCCGTTGCAATACGGTTGTATATCACATCAACAAATATTTCGTTTCTCGTCTTGCACATCCTCGTCAATCCAGATAATTTCGACAGAAATTCAATCCTCGTCTCGCCTCGCCGGTGGAAAAGCACCTTAACACATCACGAATTTAGTAGAAAAAATTGCAAAATAAAAATTTCGGAATTTTTAGTGGGAGGTATTAACCACTCTTCGTATATTAGTTTCCCGCAGTTCATGCTCTGTCTATACCCATCTTTGATTAACTAATACCTGTAAGAAGAAATAATAAAATATACAATTCAACAGGTACGTCGAAAACAAAATAAAAGTAAATTACCATTTCTTTGATGGAAATTCTTTTGCGCAGTCCAATTCTAAATCCAATAAAAGGAATTTTAGCCGGGTAAAAACGCTTCGTTTGTGTCACTTTTTATTTGCTCTTGCTGTACGTTTAGGGACGGATAGATATCAGTCTCGCGTGTTTTAGTTCACGTTGAATATCATTGGCAACTGAATCAAGTTTTACCCTGTTTCACAATTATCGGCCTTCACCCGCATTCCACTTGAGAATACCTTAATATTTATGAACGTAAACAATTATTTCGTACCTTGGTATAATAAAGCCCAATATAGGTAGTGTTTTTTTTTAAATGGGACAGTATGGGTAATTCCGAAATCATAGAAAATACAAGGAAACTGTCTTAGGAACCACTAAGTCTTTTTTTGTGAAAACAATTTTGGCATAGTCAATTTTTTGGTTAAACGTGAGTTGTCCATAAAAATAAACCAAATTGACCAAAATTTTCATGTAAGGATTATTTCATTGTATGGGACGAAAAAAATCGAGACAGCAAAAGTTTGTCAAATTTAATCAATTGTTTTTAACACAAAATTAATAACATTGACTAATTTTTTTTGGGACACTCAGAGACAGACAGACTGTTTCCTTGTATCTC